TTTCTTAAGAAATGATGGGTTTCTTTCCTGGACATGTCAGATCATTCACCTTTTCCTATATTTTGAGTTTTTCTAAAGTCTCAGTTGAAACAGAACATTCTATTTAAATTAAAAACACCAGGAACTTTTTCTTAACAAAGGTAATAAACAACAGACAGTTTGTTACATCTATACACCAGGGCTTCATTTGTTTTTCAGTCATATTTTGCATACTCGGGAGTGTCAGTCAAGTGGAACATACTTGTTTCCAACGTAGTAACCAGACACCAGAAGGTGGTGTAGCACAATTTTAATTCAGGATCTAAATCCATGTTCCATTTCAAGAAGAAATCATACTTGAAATCAGTAGTGGGCAATTTTGGTCTCTCTGATACTATTGGAATACAGCTCCTGTTATCGGTGACAACTGCCACCCTAGCTGGAGCCATGAAGTACAACAATATATTCTCGAGATGGATGTTACAAATGTTGTCATTTGAAATAAACAACCTGGACCCATTTGTGCCAGCAATCATACTTGGGAGATTTTCAGCACAGATGAAAAGATGTGCATAGACAGAGGACAGAAAATGGATTTTTAAAAGATCCTGCCTACAAGAAACACAAAATAGTAACCCTACTATTTTATCCTACTATGACCTGTAGGCTGGGTCACCCTTTAATTCACATTCTGCCTTGCTCGATTAGGTGTTCCAGAAATCCATTGGAAAAGAGACTATATTGTGAGTTGAACTGGGATGGCTTTCCTGAGCTTGATGCCCAAATCCATATTGATTTGAAAATTAAGGGAGGAAAACTCCAAAATCCAATTCAGCAGGCTCTGACCAGTTCTGGAGAACTGGTAGCGGAAAATTTGATTAATTCGGAAAACTGGAAAATACCACCTCTGACTGGCCCCTCCCCATCTATTCTCTGCCTCCCGAATCCCAGCTGATTGGTTGGGTCTTCTTTTGTTGCCCTGCACAGGAGAACGGAACTGGAAAGCAGGTTAGTGGGGTGGGGTGGGAATAGAGATTTTACAGTATCCTTCCCTGCCATGCCCAACAAGCCACGGCCAACAAGCCACACCACGCCCACCAAGCCACATCCACAGAACCGATAGTAAAAAAAATTGAATCACACCACTGATCCAATGTATCACGCATGTAGAATCCTGGTAGATTCTACAAAAAAATGAATTAATCTTGGCAAATAACTGATGGCTGACAATTAAAGTCAATAATATTAAGTGATTACTTAACAAGTCTGCATGTGAGTACCTGAAGAATTTTAATGCATAGATCCAACATGCTTTTAAAAGAACTCTTATTTCAGATCTTGTAGGGCAGGACTTCTGGAGAATACAGGAATGATCAGGTAGAGAGAGGGGACTCTTATCTTCTAACTGGTCTTTTAAGAATTCTAAATATCTGGGCTGCTTACAGCAGAGCCGTTCTTTTTAAAGAAAAGTTTCTTTCCTAGTGCTTTTGCCATAAATCATAAAGAAATACACAGTGAAATGAAGCAGAGCAGACCTATTCTGTTCAGCTTTCCTATATGAAATGTGTACATTTTCATATAGTCCCAAACAGCATCTGTATCTGAAAAGTACTTATAGCTGCATCAGGTCTAGAAAAGACTTTATTGTAAGAGATATGGAAGGGTTGTAGCTTTGATATCTTTATAAATAAATCCATCATTCATTCATTCATTCATTCATTCATTCATTCATTCATTTTGTCTGCTTCCTATTAAGTAAGGTGACCAACCGTCCTCCTTTAGGGAGGACAGTCCTCTTTTTGTAAGTTCTGTCCTCCCTCGAAAAGTGTCCTCCTACATGTCCTCCTTTTTGATATTTGAAGACTAATCTGTAAATCTCTGTATTTGATCGATGGCGATCTGATCCATTGTGTGTGATGTGACGTATTTGTATTTGACATGACGATTCGTCAAGGCTCGGTATAGTGTGGAGAGACGTGATTATGAGACGCATGCGCTCCATACAGGAGAATTGTTTTGAGAGAGTGTGCCATGCGCAAGAGTGTACCGTACGCAAGAGTGCACCATGCACAAGTGGTTTTGTTTTTTTCTTCAATTTATTTGTGTCCTCCATTGTAAAAAAGTTGGTTACCTTATGTTAAGAACTGGTAACTCCTTTAGGATTACTTGGGCTGTTGATTTTAGTATGAAGCACAATCAAGACTTAAAATTGGTTTGTGTAAGAAATTAAATAACCATCTAAGACATGTATATACCATATCTTAAGATGATCTTATCTTATGCTCATCTTGGATTGACTCTAAGCTAGCTTAGAAATCTGTCTACATGTATTTCTGGGACACTTTATAGCACCTGGCAAGGTATTCAGTATGAACAGAAGGTACTGTATCCTTCCAAATTTCTTTTTGCAGAAAGTAATTGCCAATCACTTTTTTTTCATGCGGGTGGGTAACATTATTATTATTGCACAAAGACACAAAATTAAATGTACAGTATATGTGCAAAAATAAAGCATCAATCATTTTACAGGCATAACAACTGGCTTTAAACTAAAAATTCATTTCTTCCTTGTTTTTCCTGATTATATTCTGCTGCCAATTCTGCTACAACCACCTTTTTTTATTAGCATAATGGTTATAACATTTGCCTTACATGTCCCAATTTGAAATTCATTTGAATTTTTTCCCCCAAATTACTATTTTCTTTCTCTGTGCTGCTTACTTTGCTGTTTTAAAAAAATATAAAAAAAAAAAAATATAAAAAATAAGTCTTCCAATGCATGATGATGAAATAGAATACCAGTGAAAAAAATTTTAAAAAGCGGAGGGGAGGAAATTCCAGCAGAAAAGACCAGCAGCATCTTCAGAGGAAGAAAAATAGCAAGTTGAAAGAAAAAGATTCTGCTTGGTTTTAAAGCAGGGAAGTACAGCACATCAACCAAATGTTGCTATCGTTTTATTAGTAAGGAAAACTTGCAGTAGTTGTTTTTTTGGGAAAAGCAGAGAAAATGCTTTTTTCCCCTTTGGAAAATTACTCTGAATAAATGTAGAGGCATTCTTTGCCCAGCCTCTGTAAAATACCTTTGGCCTTGAACAAGGGTTCTTAATAATTTTGTACCTTTGAGATTCTCTTTACAGGGCCTCTTCTTAGAAAAAATAATGAAATAAATAAAATGCATTTATTGAGTTATTGAATAATTTCCTTTGTATTACAATGGAAGCTGTTCAAATATAATCATTTATTATTAAAAATAAAAAATGTGATATGTGGTATATGGTATTCACAAATAAGCTGACAATGCAAGTGCCAAAAGAACCCCTCAAAATATACTTCCAAGTCCCCAAGCAGTTCAGCTTATCCGTGAAGTAACATAGAGCTCATCCTGTGAGTATATACAGTAATATTTTTTAAACTACCTGTATATTGTGAATATACTCACAGATAAGCTGACCCTTGAATTTTTAACCAAAATACCATGAAAATTCATGATAACTAAATTTGTGATAACCAAAATAACCAAAAATCAGTGGTTCTGGTTTTGCTTTTTAGGATGTAATAACTTTTGGATGCTAGAACCCATGAATTACTTTGTTACCTGACTTTATTATTGAATGAAACTCTTTTTTTTTGTTTGTTTGTTTTACAGATAGATAGAATTCTTTATTGGCCAAGTGTGATTGGACACATAAGGAATTTGTCTTGGTGCGAATGCTCTCAATGTACATAAAAGAAAAGATACATTCATCAAGAGTCAAGAATCATCAGGTACAACACTTAATGATAGTCAGAGGGTACACTAAGCAATCAAATCAGACTAGGGAACAGTGAATATAAATCGTAAGGATACAAGTGTCAAAGTTACAGTCATATAGTCACAAGTGGGAAGGGATGGGTGATAAGGAGTGATGAGAAGATTAATAGTAATAATAATGCAGACTTTATAAATAGTTGGATAGTGTTAAGGGAATTATTTGTTTAGTAACGTGATAGCGTTCAGAAAAAACTGTCCTTGTGTCTAGTTGTTCTGGCGTGCAGTGCTCTATAGCATAGTTTTGAGAGTAGGAGTTGAAACAGTTTATGTCCGGGGTGTGAGGGGTCTGTAAATATTTTCACTCGTGCAGTATACAGGTCCTTGACTGAAGGCAGGTTGGTAGTAACTTTTTTTCTGCAGTCCTGATTATTTTCTGAAGTCTGTGTCTGTCTTGCTGGTTTGCAGAACCAAACCGGACAATTATAGAGGTGCAGATGACAGACTCAATAATTCCTCTGTAGAACTGTATTAACAGCTTCTTGGGCAGTTTGAGCTTTCTGAGTTGGCACAGAAGGAATATTCTTTGTTGTGCTTTTTTGATGATGTTTTTGATGTTAGGTGTCCATTTTAGGTCTTGTGATATGATAGACCCTAGAAATTTGAAGGTCTCTACTGTTGATACTGTGTTATCTAGTATTGTAAGAGGTGGCAGTGTGGGAGGGTTTCTTCTAAAGTCTACCACCATTTCTACAGTTTTGATACATTTGTACATTATACATTTGATACATTTTCTACATTTTTGATACAGTTGTGCATCCAAGTTGATGGACTCCCATAAATCTATTCATTGTTAAGTATCCCAGTCTAGAAAAAAAGTATTTTTTTTTTCATGCTAACCAGACTGGCCACAGAGGCAGGCTTATATTACTTTAAAGTAGAAGAAGAAAATAACTTTTATGTCAGATTTCCAACGGCAGGGAGGTGGTAAGTATAGACAATATCATTTATTTTTGCTTTCCCAAAGTGGTTGCTGGCCTGTAGTAGTGAAAGAGCAATTTGGCAGTATAGATGATTCCTCTGGCTGACTGATGCATAATTGTGGCACTATTGTAAATATTATTCCTGTTTCTAACGTCAGACATACTGTGTTTCCTCAAAAATTTCCTAACTGCAAAATAAGCACAGCACAATTTTTCAGGGTGCTCATAAGCACAACTTCAAAAATAAGCCCCAACTAAGATCGTCAATCAGACGGATGCATTTAGTACCATATTTCCCTGAAAATAAGCCCTAATGCATCTTTTGGAGCAAAAATTAATATAAGAACCAGTCTTCTTTTTGGGGGAACACGGGTATTACATTCTATTTATAGACTGTATAATCCCATGAAGTTGATCCCATCAGTGATCACTGCAAGCATGCAAGCATTCTTCTAGCAAATCAGAAGAAATTCTGATCCTGCTCATGCAGAAAGTGTCAACTTCGAAATGACTTCAGCTGAAGGCATATTTACTGTTGCTTCCTTTCTTAATTGCCACTCACTCTAGGGGAGGGGGAGTTAGAATAGACTGGAATGTGGTGCCCTAATCCACTAGCCAAAACACTGACCAGAAGGAACATGAGAATCAAGGTCATGGCAACGGACATCTGCTGAGACCAAGGGAGAAGCTACTACTGGATTGATTGGTTGACATGACCCGGGTCACCTGAGGAGGTGGGGGAAAGTTTCTGTTCTTTTTATTACTCTGAAGTGTGAGAAATACTCAGAGTTAGCTTCACCTGCCAAAGTGCCGATACAATGTGTCTTTCAAGCCTGAATGGAGCTTCTGAGTCCTGATTGAATTGGGTTCATTGCTTGGAACTATGACAGAAAGTCTAACTCAGTGATGGCTAACCTTTTTGTTGTGGTGTGCTGAAAGCCTGTGCACGCTGGCACCCACAATGCAATGCACATGCACGCGCAATACCCCCACCCTGCCTCCTTACCTGCACTGTGCATGTGTGCACCTCCCGGCTGATTTTTGGCCCATTTGAGGTTGTTTTTACCCTCCCGGGGGCTCGAGGGAAGCCTCTGCAGCCTTTGGAGACCGAAAAACAGGCCTGTTTCAGCACTTCTGGTATTTCTGGAAGGCCCTTTTTTCGGCCTCCTGAGGCTGCAGAGGCTTCCCTCGAGCCTCTGGGAGGGTGAAAACTGCCTCAAACGGGCCGAAAATCAACAGGGAGGCATACATATGCACAGTGCAGGTAAGTTTGCCTGGGGCTCACATGCCCATATAAATGGCTCTGGTGTCATCTGTGGCAGGCGTGCCATAGATTCGTCATCATGGGTCTAACTGCTTATATTTTAGTCTATACTTTAATAAGTCTAACATCCCCATTTATGTACAGGTAGTACTTGTCTTACAACTATTCATTTAGTGACCATTCAAAGTTACAATTGTATTGAAAAAAAGTGACTTATGGCCATTTTTCACACTTATGACCATTGCAGAATCCCTATGGTCATCCAATCAAAATTCAGATGCTTAGCAACTGGCTCATATTTATGATGGTTTAGAGTGTCCCAGGCTCATGTCATCATCACCTTTTGCAATCTTCCAACAAGCAACATCAATGGGGAAGACAGATTCATTTAATAACCATGATACTAACTTAACTGTAGTGATCCACTTAACACCCGTAGCAAGAAAACAGATCATAATATGAGGCAAAGCTCCCTTAACAACTGTCTTGCTTTAAAAATAAATTGGTCTCAATTGTGGCTGCAAGTCGAGGACAGGAACGTCACAGAATTACAAGAGTCCAAGTGGCAGAACCAATGGGCAAGCTTCTTCTTCACAACAGGCTGCAGCTGGCCAGGGTTTTCCCTGTTATTTCCTTGAACCTGGTTTAGTTGTAACCAGGATGAATACTTTGCAAATGAATTATTCTTTCAATGACCAAAAAAAAAAAAAAAACCATGAAAAATGGCAAATTTGGCTTCTAAATTGCCTCCATGGCTTTTGTCCAGAGGAGTTCAATTGTACAGCTGGCTGGAAACAACTTCTGAATTCAAGTCTTCATTCAATTTCCCAAACATGCCTTGCTTTATTAGCTGTTCACAGAAGGAACTGCAGACGCAAAGCGGTGCCAAATTCTTCAGACAAACCCAATCCCCACAGATTGTGTTGTCTGTTGCTCCTTTAATATAAAGAGAAGTAAGTAAATCAGCTTACTTTTCTTAGACTTAAAAAGCTTCTGCAGACAGCGAAAGAATGTGTCTCGCAGAGCACCTCTGCACAAGACAGGAGCCACTGAGAAGGCTATTGCCAATAGACAGCAAGCTTTCACTACTGAACACGAAGAACCTTTGCTTAACACCAGCTTGCTCACCACTGGCTAAAGCAATTGCTTAAATTGTTTGAAATACTAAGGAAATATTTCAGTATCTTGTATAAAAGTCCAACCTGGCATCCAATTAATTGGCCTCAGATTTGGTTTTATTTACTGCACTTCTGAAAAACACATCCTGGAAGGATACCTAAGATTCCTGGTTATCCTAATGGTCATTTGTTGTAAATTTATTGTGATTTGCTGTAGGTCCTGACTTCTACTCAATTAATCTAGACAGTATGTAAGTCAGCCCAAGAAAACCCACGTAATCCCATTGTTCATGTCCTGCCATTCACTGTGGAAACTTCCTCTACTATTTAGAGTAAGGTTGTCAAATCGGTGGCCCATGGGCTGGATGCATCATGCACAGGCCACACCCATCCCAACTCCACAAAGGGGAAACACATCGTGATATGTCACATGATGGTAATGTGATGCCGCGAGTTTGACACCCATGATTTAGAGTAACAGCTAGGGATTGTTGGGAACGAGATGAGGAAAGAATAAGCAATTATCTAGACAGCTACATTCCTTAGACACCATAAAGCAGGGTGTCAAACAGGCCCGGGGGCCGGATCAGGACTGTAGGATGCTTAGATCTGTCCCATGGGCCTGCCCTGGAAATAGCGAAACAATGGCCTGTAGTGCCTCTGCCGGCAAAAACAGAGCTTGGGAGGGCCATGTGTGGGCCTCCCGGATTCTGTTTTTGGCTGCAACAGCTTCTGCAGTTCTCTGCCAGAGAAAATGGAGCTCGGGAGGGCCATGCAGGCTCTGTTTTTGACTGCAACAGTCTTCTGCAGCCCTCTGCCAGTGAAAATCCTCCCGGGCTCCATTTTCACTGGCAGAGGGCAGCAGGAAGCTGTTGCAACTGAAAATAGAGCCTCAATAAGTGACGTTGAGTTGGCCATGCCCACCCTGGTCACACTCCCCCCTGACCCCATGAGGTCAAACACAACCATGATGTGGCCCTCAATTAAATCGAGTTTGACACCTCTGCCATAAAGGTGCCAGGTGATAGATGGAGTGGTCAGAGGAGTGGTAAGCGAAGGGTAGTTGATGCAAATATACTAGCTAATAATCTTTCCATACTAGTAATTGATTCAGTACTCCTGGATAGGTCCAAGCAGTGACATATCAGCAACAAAGACAAACATTATATGGTTGTATAAATAAAGAAAGAATCTGTTTGTGTAGGAATGTCCCTCTCCGGAAATTCCAGTGGTGACTGTTTCATCGGTTAGGTAGGGTAGTCTCAAATGTATTGCAAATGAAAATAATTGAGCTTCTAAACTACAAGAGGCTTGCTTCACTGAAGGAATAGCAGCAATTTTTGCCAATCAAAACTCTTACTCCCTTTGAGAATATTGGAAAATCACTGTGTGTGAGTTTTAGTTTAGTTTGCACATACTCCTGGTATGCAGATCAGAGCAAACATACAAGCCAATCAATTCAGCTAGAAAAAAACCTATAGCTTGATGTTTATTTATTAAACATCAAAACATTTAATTGGCAAAATTAAGCAAGCCACAGCAGGGAGCAGGAAAAGCCAAAAAAAAAAGGGAGAGAAAAAAAAACATGAACAATAGATAAGAATTGTCTACAGGGCTGGATTTAATCTTAGTGAGGCCTTAAGCCAGGGCTGGGCTTCAGCTGGTTCGGCCAAACTGGATGTTAATTTTATATCTGGTTCGGTGAACCGGTAGTTCCGATGAGTGGCTGGCCCTGCCCACCCTGCCCTACCTCTCCCAGGAGTCCCCACGTGGCCCGTTTTGGATAGCAGGTAAGTGCAGGGCTTGTACAGAGGCTCTGGGAGAGGGAAGAACGGGCCTCCCAGAGGCTCCGGAAGTTTCCAGCCTCCAGAGAGCCTCCAGAGCTGGGGAGGGCAAAATGGGCCTCCCGGAGGCTCAAGGAAACCCTCCAGAGCCCAGGAAGGATGAAAACAGGCCCCCTGCAGCCCTTTTTCATTCCGAGAGTGATGAAGGAAGGCCTACTAGGTTGAAAACAGGGTGCAGGGATGGGGGCACAGCTCCACCCATGGCCCATTTCTGCTCCCAGGGTGGTGCAAGAAGCTGACTAGGCCAGACCCACCATGGCCATGCCCACCCAGCAACTGGGCAGAGAACCGGTTATTAAATTATTTGAAGCCCAACCCTGCCTTAAGCTATATAAAGCTTGGAGGCCCTTTGATAAAACATTACATTAAAGGTTTCTAAAAGGTGCATACCAAAACAGGTGCTTGGGTCACCACAACCCACCCATCCCCCTTTAAAATATATAAAGCTATTTTAAAACTAGCGTAAAAACTTGCTAAGTAAGATTTTAGAAACTAAAGTACACATAAAAGCTACATAAAATTCTAAAAGACCCTCCTTCCCCACCCCCCAAAAAACCTGAAATTTTGTTATGCAGACTGCAAAGCCCTGAACTGCAGCTTATCCCCAAATCCAGCACTCATCACCTCAATGTGTTCATCAAAAGATCCAGAAATTTCCAGGGCCACTGAAAAAAATCCTATAGCTAATTAGCATGATAGCTCCCCAAAGGGGGAGCCTTTAATAATTGCAGTCTTAACCTCTTTAGGTACATAATAGCAATAGAATCAAGATGGAAATAGAACATTGAGTGATCCTTCCTCTATTCCACACTGAGAAAGCAATAATTTGCTAGATGGGGATGATGTATGCCTCAGAAAATGGAAGAAACTCTGTCAGAATTTTTTTTTTCTGAAATAGATTTCCAAAAGAAGAATCCTCCTTTTACCTGGAGAAGAACAGGCTCATTTACCAACGTACTATGATAAGGCATAAAGTTATTGGTTCCTAACAAAAGGATTTGGGGGAGAAGGAAGGAGGGCAGCTGCGCAGAAAATTTGACTCTCATCACATTTTGCTTAATGCTACTTGATTAAATACCATTCAAAGCACTACCGGTGCAGCCCTATTCTTAGGTGCGTTGAAATTCCATTTTCATATAGAATAACCATTTTAGTAAGAACTATCCTCAAAAAGGAAGGTTTTTTTTAAAATGTGTTGAGAGCTATTGTGCAGCTGTCTTTTATTCTTTTGGTCATTGTTTTCTTCAATTGTTATTTTAGTTGTTATTGATCTTTATTGTGATTTTCTTCCAGTTCTAAGTAAGCCTCAGTGAAGTCTCTTATCCTGTTTCTCGTGAATAGCCAGCAACAGTTTAGAATCCAAATGGTTTTAAACAACCCTGTAAAGATATTTTACTGAATAGAAGCTTCTACAAGCAGTCCTTGACTTAAGACCATAAATGGCACCCGCCCATTATGGTTGTAAGTTATGATGGTCATAAAGTCGGTCGTCCATGTGGCTGACCCAATTTAATAATCTTTTTTTTATAAGCAGTGGTTAAGTAAACAAATTGTTCATTACGGGCTGGTTTTTTCCCCAAAACCAAAAGTAAATGCTGATTTTCAGCAAAGATGCCCCCAAAACCCAGTCATGTGACCTCAGGACAGTGCAAATGGCTGTATATGTGGACTGGATCCTGAGCACCTGAAATGCACTGTGAGGGGGGCAGCTATCAAACTTTGGAACTGGGTTGTAAGTTATGATGAACCAGGTCGGTCATAACTTTGAACGGTAGCTAAGCCAGCGATCGAAGACTACCTTTATTAAGTTTACTTTGGCCTACTCATTAAGAACAGTATTGTTCTTACTCACTGCAACAATATTGCAAAAAAAGCTCTAAGAGTTGTAAATTTAATTTTACAAAGCTTCTCCTCTGGTAATACTGTTTTACAAACTAGGGCATTCAAAACCTTTGGTAGACCAATACTTGAATTCAGCTCTGCTGTCTGGAATCCGCACTGTATATCAGACATACCGTATTTCCCCATGTATAAGCCACCCTTTTTTCCAAAATTTTCAAGCCCAAAAAGTAGGGGGATGGCATATACAAAGCAGGTACACTTTTTATACGTGAAAAATGCATAAAATAATAAAGTAGGAATAAACTGGTTTTCCAGCAGTATGCTATACTTTTTTGTAAAAATTGTACGTGATGATACGATTATGAGTGCGAGTACGCGATAGAAATGCATACGCTAGGCATCGGCCTGAATGCTTCGTTCCTACTCTCGTTCCGATGCGTAGATTGCTAGCATCGCCCGCACCGCTTTCGGCGTCATGACCGAAGTTGTAGATCTAGACGTCGAATTTTGTTTCTTTGTAAATTTTCTTTCTTCATAACTTGTTTCTCTAATAAAATATTTTTTTCAAAACTTCACAGTCCAAAAATTGGGGGGGTGGCTTATACAAAGGGGGTGCTTATACATGGGGAAATACGGTAAATACAATTGAGCGAGTCCAGAAGTATTTTACCAGAAGAGTACTACATTCCTCTGTTCACAACAGAATACCCTACAGCACCAGACTTGAGATTCTAGGCTTAGACAACATTGAACTATGCCGACTAAGATTGGACTTAAGCATAGTACATAAAATCATATGTTACAATGTCTTACCAGTTAATGAATATTTCAGCTTTAACAACAACATAAGAGTACACAACAGATATAAACTAAATGTAAACCACTCCAAACTCAATTGCAGGAAATATGATTTCAGCAGCAGAGTGGTCAATGTCTGGAACTCGCTGCCTGAGTCTGTTGTCACCTGCTCAAACCCCCATTCCTTTATCCTCAAACTAACCTCTATTGACCTCACCCCATTCCTAAGAGGTCTGTAAGGGGCCTGCATAAGTGCACAATCGTGCCTACCGTACTTGTCCTATTGTCCCCAATTATTAGTTCCTATTTCTTGAATTTAAACTTATGTTTATTCTTGTTTCTGTTATATTGTAAGCTTTGGACAAATAAATAAATAAGAAATAAGAAATGGATTTAGGACTGCAGGCTAAGCTTCACTAAGCATTACCCTGTTATAGGAAAAGAGTAAAAATCAGTCTTTCAAAAATAGATATCAGGATTTAATGGCAGTGAGACTTCTCCCCTGTGTCTTGCTAATGCACAAACAAGCAAATCACAGTTTTGCATAGGGAAGTTCTGTGGACCCAGCGTATATTTAGAACTTGGAGAAAAAAGTGGGTGATAGGTTAAACCCCAATATACAGGTTCAGGTAATATGTGGCAATATCTATAGAGATTCTTACTAATCTTTGCCTTTGCAACTCATGGTTGTCCCAAAGGTGCATTTTCAAAAGGCAACTGGACTTTCTTTGTTTTTCTTTGAAGGTGTTTCACTTCTCATCCATGAAGCTTCTTCGGTTCTGACTGAACAGTGGGGAATGGAAGGATCAATATTCCTTGCAGTCATCCGGTCATTAGCACTCTTTCTGAGGTCATCTGAATAGTGCAAATAATACAACACAGTCCTTTCAATGATTCCAAAGAGGTTCCATACCCATTTGAACTATTTAGGTGACCCTGAAGGCATAGATAAACCTCCAAGTGGCCTCAATGACTCTCAGAGGAAGTGCTAATGACCAGATGACTGCCCAGAAATATAAATCTTTCCATCCCCTCCATCATTCAGTCAGAACTGAAGAAGCTTCTTGGATGAGAAGCGAAATGTCTTCAAGGAAAAACAAAGAAAGTCCAGTTATCGCTTGAAAAATCATATTTGAGACATGGCAATAAGATATGTAGAGCACGGTATAAATTGCAGGTACCTTTCAGGATTTAACCACTCCATGGCTTATTATGGTAAATGAGCCAGATGACAGAAATTCAGATTTAATCACCTTGTAGCTCAATATATTTTATTAAAAAAAAATTGAAGCACCCAGTTACTAAAGCTCTCTGGGCAATTTACAGAAAAACATTTAAAAATATAATTTGAATAAAAACACATGCAGTTGAAATACAAAATAGAGGTGCTATATAAATTAGGCAGTTGCAAGGCAGGCATAGAAAAACTGAAACAATATGTATTAAAATTAAAATAATATTTGCGAACTAAATCTTAGGATTGCATTGCAAAGCTCTCCATAGAACAAGCTCCTGGCATTTTTTGAAACTGTTATTATTTTGAACTAGTTTATGTTCCAACTAAAGTAGAAATAGTCCTTAGGACGCCTGCTCTAATATTTGGGTAACTGTAACAAATTATCCACCTCTTTTTTTTTTTCTTTTCAAGGGTACTGAAGTTGAAAAGAAAAGCACATTGGCCAGGTGACTATTTCCAATGCTTCAGTGCTACTTTAATGTGGGAAATTTTCAACCCTGCAGTGAAGCATATGTGTGTGTGGGGGGGGGGGGGGGGGGGTGAGTAAGATTTAATGAAGTTATAACACCTTGGCATCTTCTTGGACATGAAAAGCAAAGAGCCAATTCGGCAGCTTAGTCAGCAAGAAAAAACAAACAGAAAAGAAAAACCCTCAGCTAGATGGAAAGAATTATGCTGAGACAATCTATATACCTGACTTACCTTATACAAGACAACCTTTGCTTGTTCACTGTAATTAATGAATTAGATAACACAACACAATTCTAAACCAAGAGTCATTCCACAATGCAGATCAAAACATTTTGGGAAGGTGAAATGCTAACAAGCTGAAGATGTTTTAATCAGGAGGCGAAGATAAAATGGAAAACCAAGTTCCTAGGCCTTTAATAGGTTGGGAAGAAAAGAAATCATAGTTAAATATGGCTTCCTTCAGTTCTGTACATGAAGATATAATTACAGCAATTCTATCTTTCCCATAAATCAAAGCCTCATCCTTTGCATATGAACATCCTGGTCTTTTGTAACTGGAAAATTCAGTCTTTATGAAATCTCTTAAGGAATGACTTAATTCACATCTCATGGATGAATATTAGAATATTAGAACTTAATCGATTTGTAAGCTGATCCAACAGACTTGCCCTTCTCTGAATATTACAAAATGGTTTGTCACATATTAAAGCATATGTTTTGGTATGAATTTTACACTTTAAATGGGAGATAAAATATTTTCCTAAGAAATGAAATAATTATATATTCCAAAGAAATACAATGTTAGATTCTGATAAACTACAATTATAGATTTTTAAAAGTTATCTACAATTATTAGATTTTTAAAACATAGTTAGAAACAGGCTGAACTATCTTTCCTGTTCTGATTATATTACCTAGTTAAGGTAATGAAAAATCTGCAAGAAAACAAGCAAGCTCAGAGAGACCAAGCACCCCTCATATCTTTCCTGTTCTTAATTTCGTTTGGGCTGAAAACATCCAGATGACCTGTAGATGGCAGCAAAGATAGCGTAGTTCTGTCTTCTAAGGCATGTAATATTTATCACGTTCTACTGAGGGTTTCATTTGGTCCCAATGAAAGGGAATTAAGCACCACTTGGAACTCTGGGAACACATCAAATCATTTGCTGCAGTTTTCCCGTTATAAAAATGCATTTCAGCAGCAAAGAAAAGCAAGAGAATTGTTCCCCAGTCAACTTTATGAGCAAGCTTCATCTAAAAACAACAGTGATTATGATGATGATATTCCATGCTATTTATCTAGGATAGAGGTGAAAAAGTCAAACAGACAACAAATGGTCAAAATTGGGAGCATCGTATCAAATTCTGTACCTGTCAACAGTGGTGTCCCCCAAGGCAGTGTTCTAGGACCAACTCGTTTCATACTTTACATAAATGACCTCTGTGATCATATCAAGAGCAACTGCGTTCTCTTCACTGATGATGTAAAGCTATTCAACACCACAGACAATACTGCTACCCTTCAAAAAGCCCTTGACTATGTATCAGTATGGTCAAACAAATGGCAACTTCAAATCTCAACAAATAAATGCTCTGTCCTACATATTGGCAAAAAATAACAGAAAATAAAATACAGGCTGAATAGTCAAGACCTTGTTGATGATCCAAACTCTGTCAAGGATCTTGGAGTACTCATCTCTAATGACCTAAGTGCTAGAGCCCACTGTAACTACATAGCCAAAAAGGCGTTAAGAGTTGTTAATCTAATCTTACGTAGCTTTTTCTCTAGTAATATTACACTACTAACTAGAGCATACAAAACATTTGCTAGACCAATACTCGAATACAGCTCATCAGTTCTGGGAAGCAGGCAAGAAGTGTTAGAAATCTTCCTTCCTTCCTTCCTTCCTTCCTTCCTTCCTTCCTTCCTTCCTT